AAGTTTGGAGAACAGACCAGGTCAGGAAAGATCCCAGAGAAGGCACAGCAATCACAAGAAGTAGCAAATCAACCATACATACCAAGGAGGGGGAAGGTAGCATTATTCCCGGTTCCCAGATGGTATGCAAACCAGGCATTATAGGTCTGCTGAGAAACTTGTCCTTGAAAAGAAGTGGACTAGAAATGTAGCTAGCTTTGCCTGGACATCAACTCAAAACTTGAGTCTAGGGGCAGTGGGAAAATAAAGGACAGACACACAGATGTGCATATAATAAAGCTAGGATTTGGTGAGGTTCCCTAGTACTACCACCACAACCTGGAATCTCACAGCATTTATTAGGTACAGCATGGGGGAAGGGCTAACTGTAGGTAAGCAGTTTCAGCCTGTAAGGATATAGGACGACACCCCAGTTGCTAATTATTGTACTGATCACTCTTTCATAACCAGGCATGACAACTTGTGGCAGCTGAGGAAAGCTTTGCCACCCTCTTTAGTCTGGCTGAGAAGTACCTATTCTCCATGGGCCATTTGGTCGCCAAGTCCCCCACAGGCTTTGCTCATGTCACAATACACATTCACTCGGTGCTTCACTCACTCAGGGCTTCCTTCACTGCCTACCACAAAGAAAGTCCTGGTTGTGTCCCCAGCACTGTTTAAGTTGGATGTAGCATAAATCCTAGAACTTACGGACAGGCCAGACAAACAAGAGGTGGAGCAAGCAACCAGTTGACAGGAAGTGAATATAAGATGATTAAGGAAAAAACAGAGTAAGAGGGAGTCAGGAGGACAGATGCAGATAGAAGTTTCTGTCCCACCTGTATGTAAACATACAGATGATTATATTAATTATAATCTGTTTGGCCGATGGCTCAGGCATCTTACTGGCTAGCTCACTCTTAATTACTAACCAGTCTCTATTAATCTATGTGTCTCCACATGGTCTTGGCCTACCAGAGAATTCTCAATGTCCTACCTTCCTGGTAGCTACATGGTGTCTCCCCCCAACTCTTGTCTCTGTTCCTCTTCCCAGAATTCTCCCAGTCTTGTGGCCCTGCCTATACCTCCTGCCTGGCTACATCCTGCCTGTCCATTGGTCAAAACAGCTTTATTCATCAACCAGTAGGAGAAACATATATTCACAGCTTATAGAAGGACATCCCCCATGAGATAACAGACACACAGGAATAGAAGGGAGGACATTGAGTTAGGAGAGGTTGGTATGAGACAGCATAGGAGGAGGCGGCTTTGGGGATGTCAGCTGAGGAGGTTAGCTGGGTACTTTCTCTGTCTCTCTTTGCTAGCAGGCTTTGACTCCAGCATCTGACTCCTGAGTCTTCATTGAAAAAAAATTGAACGATTGAGGTTTTGTTAAAAACATTTGGTTCTGTGAGTTCGAGTCCGGGCTGGACCGACAGCCTCCAAAACAATACAGAGAAACCCTGTCTCATAAAAACAAAAACAAACAAACAAACAAAAAACCCCAACATTTGGTGACCAACATGGGGCATGACTATACAGAGAAATCATGCCAGCTGCAGACAAACTGAATGCAAACATGCTACTCAGTTCCCTTTCTCTGCTTGTATGACATAGTATTCTATCCATGTAATGACACCACCCAACTCCGGTGGGTTTCCCACCACAATTAACATAATTAAGGTAAATCTCAACAGGCATGCCCAGAAGCCAAACTTCCAGGTGATTCTAGATTCTGCCAAGCTAACATTAATCATCAAAATTGGTAAAAAAAAACTACAGTCCGTATCCAAATAAGCCAGGCCAGCTACTTAAACTAGTCATTTTTTCTCTCTTTCCACGTTAGTCAGGAGGCTTCTTGCCTATGAGGTAACATCACCCCTAAACTCCATGTTGCAATATTAAGCTCAATAAAGTCGTCTCTCAATTGATGTCTTGCCTGCTTGTAGACTTTAATCACAGGAAGACCTGATTAAACTGGTTGCCCAAAAATTCAACAAAATCAGCAAGCTTCTTGCTCTGGCAGAGACAGCTGAAAAGTTTCTGAACGCCACCAAGAGCTAAGACAACAGGAGTCAATGGAAAATTCCATTGAGCCACTATAAGCCAAGGGCATGATACCAGAACCATCAGACAAGAAAGCAGTTGAGTTCCAGAGAACAACCAAGAGCAGAAAGAGCAAGATGCTAAAACCACAAAAAAAAAAAACTGGTGTGCTATAAAAGCGAGAGTGTCAAAGTAGAGAGACTATGAAGAACTTCAGGCAGGAGCTGAGGCTGTGAGGACTGTAAGTCTCAGGTTCAAGAGCACAGGTCAAAGAGCCATAGCTCAAGAGCTGGAACTGTAGCTGCTCAGTGTTGGCATTCCAAGCCTTTGAAAGCGTGGAGCCTAAGCCTCTAGTCCTCAAACTCAAGGCTATCAACACTAAGGAACTGCTTCTTCCCTATCCAGGATTTCTACACAAGCTCCCAGCCAGCCACTTGAGACAGGTTTTCCAAATCAAAACAGCAAGAAATGTTTAATACAATACTAACAAAAGAAAGCTAGCATATAACCAAACTGCCTGGGGATTCTACCATACAACCAGGAGATACTAATTCCTCTCTGCTTTGATTTCTTCATAAAGGAGGAGGAGTAGGAAATGTCCTTAGCTTGAAGAAGTACTGCAAAGATTAGAAGACTAAATACGCGCTGAGCATGGAGGATGCTAGCCCATCATAGCACGACAGATTCTCTGTGTATTGAACTCATTGGACTCCTGCTTTCTTACTGAGCTTTACTTACTGAGAATTATCAGGTAGTCTAAAGGAGAAAAAAAACTTGTAATATCCAGTAATTTTTTTTGCTATCTCCCTAAATTGGAAAAAAACTAGAATCATCCATTATATCAGACATACCTCAGTCATGGTGATTCCTCTTGCAGTTTCCACCTGGTCATCCAAGCTGATCTCAATAAAATGATCACCCAATGAGTCTCATGTCCAAAACTGGATCTTGATCTAGGCTTCAAAAAGATACAAGCCAAAGTCTTAAAATGTTCAGCCTGTCATTAGAAATAACCGTGCGTTATTAACAAGGCAGGAAACCGTGGTGCAGATAACCATGGAACCAAAGCCTAAAAACCCGCAGCAACAAGAATGACCTAGAGCTCTTCATCAAAGGCCTCCCCTTGTCTTTTCTTTGCTTTGTTGAAACGTGCTGGATATCCAAAGCTACCATTCTGATTTGTGGCTTCAAGGGTAGTTATTCTTATTTGCCCGTGTATTGAGAACACTCAAGTAAAACCAGGCAGTGCAATACTCGCCTGCACCTGTGATCAAGCTTTTCCCAGAATTGAGTTACTGTTCTGCAAGTAAAAAGGAGAGTTAGGCCTGGAGATCATCTCAGTCAGATTATTGCATCCCTGATGACAAGAAAGGCCAGAATTGGCTTGTCCTGTGCTGAAGCAAAAACTGTCAATAAAACGCCTTCCTATCCTGCCTTATCAACACAGCAAGCAGCACAAATTCCTTTCCCAAGGGAAGCTGGAGGAGCAGGTGTATTGGACAATAAAGACAAAAGCACTTTCAATGCAGAAGGTAGAAACCCAACATCTGCCGCGCTAAAAGGTACGGTGACAAACAGCTCAGTGGGTATAGGCAAGAAAGCTTGAGACGCAATCCCCAGAACCCAGGGAAACAGAGAATTCTGTAACTCCAGCACTCCCGTGGGCAGGTGGAAGGATACTGCAGCTCTCCTTGCTAGTCTGAGTAGGACGCAGAAAAACAAAAGACCTTGTCCCAAACCAGGTGGAAGGCAAGGACCTACACCCGAGGTTGTCCTCTGTTCTCTCTGGTTCATAGTGATGGGAACCTTGATTAGACTTTGTGGTATTTTTCACATTAATCAACGTGGACTCTACATAAGGGCGGAGTTCCCCCTGAATTTCTAATGAGTCTGACAGGACGGAGGGACACTCCCCTACCCTTACTCCGCGATCTCGCACTGCGCTCCAAACCGCGGTTACCTAACAGCGCTGCAAAAAGAGCTGGAGTGAAATCAGTCCCGAGGACCTACAACTAACCCAAACCCAGCCGGCGCCACGTACGAGTCTAAGCTCCAGTTCCTGCCTCCTCTACCGGCTCTCTCACCTTACTCGCTCGGACAGGAGCCGGGGCTCGGGGCTGAGTGGGAAGCGAGCCGCACAAAGTGTCAGGCGGGCTCTCGTAGGGTGATCCACGCTCAGCCCTGCACGCGCGATTCCCAGCTCGCACCTAGCCGCCGGGGCGACTCCGCCCTGGGGGCCCTGGCTGGTCAGTGTGGTCATTCGGGTCCCCAAAGAGGACCCCTTTGAGCGTGCTCTTGAGAAGGGACCCCGCGACGCCCTCGGGGACCCCAAGTACCACTCACCTCAGCCGCAGCCGGCAGCTTGCAGCGCGCCCGCCCCTCAGCCTGAGCCCCGCCTCCCCGACCGTTGGCGCAGCCAGGCTGACCAATCGAGCGGAAGTAGTCGATGGCCTCCCCGCGGGGCGGGAGAACCATCTGGAGCGCCCGGGAGGCGGGCTCCGCGCGTGGAGCCGGGGCTTCCCACCCACATAGACGCGCGGCGGCGGGTCCTTAGTAGGCACTCTGGCACCCCCGGGACACTCGGTCGGGTAGACGCTCCGTCACCAAAGTGGAGACTCTTTGATCCGCGGTCGCAAGTGAAAGTGAGGCTCGGGCTGCCTCGCCGTCACTGGACGGTTGCCCTCCCTACAGTGTGTGTGTCCCATCAGCGTTTCTTGATTACCTTTTATCTCCTCCTTAAACACTTTTAAACGTCTATTTAGATGCCCGACTGAAGAAAGTCGGTCTATTTGGGGGGCGGACTCCTGTGAGACACGGATATAAACATGTTTATTTAGCAAAGGGTTTGCAGCTACCGAGAGGAAAGGACCATGACGTGAGGGGGGCACGACCCTTCCCGTTTGAACGGCTGAAAAGCTTTGAAAACTTGATCCGCGGGCCTCCAGGTTAATTAAACAGAATCTCTGGAGTGGGGGCCCACGTGTCCAGAGTCTGTAAGGTTCCTCCAAGTGACTCTAATGTATAACTAAGGGAGAAGTGCTCACGGAGATGTAATTAAGGCCGATTCTAAACCTGGTGGGGAGCAGGAACTGGGGATATAATTCAGTTGGCAGAATGCCCAGCATGCACGAAGCCGTTGGGTTTGATCCTCAACACTGTCCAAGACAGGCGTGGTGGCACATGCTTGTAATCCAAGAATTTAGGAGGAAGAGGCGGGAGATTAGGAGTACATACATAGCAAAAGTCAAAGTCACTGGGAGCTACATGGGGCCTTGTCTCAAAGGAAAAATAAAATTAGGGTCCCTCTCCACTGATAGAGGGTTAAGAAATCCAAAACATTTAAGAGAACATCCACCCTCCATAAACCTGAATGAAGACCTCAAGTTTCCGGGATCTACCGTACTTGTTCTTGCACCTGGTAGCCACGTGGTGTCGCTATTGACAACAGGCCTTCCTGAAAAGACTGTGGACATGCAAGTCCCATCAGGGCCTCCTAGGACCCAGCACATCAACTAAGGTGACTCACCAAGAGGTCCAAGGGCCCATCTCTTAGAGAATACTGCTTTCAAGCCAGGTGAAACTGCCGTGAGTATGAACCATATCTATTCCCTGCAAACATGGCTCCCTCTATTCCCCATCCCTGTCTATATCTAGGTATTCACATTAACAAAGGCTGGCAGATTTTCAGTTTCCACTCCCTAATAGTCTTTCTGCTTGCCCTTTCCTTAGTCCACAAGCTAAGCATCCCTGGGTTATAATTATTTCTGATGCCAGTAACAGAAAATCTAATTCAAACTGTCTTAAACAATATAGCAATTGATTAGTTCACAAAACAGAAATCCCAGAGGTAGTGGACTTAAAGATTGGTTAATTAAGTGGTTCAATACGTCCCAAAGGATCCAGTTACTATTAGTCTGTGCTGTTGTAAACATGATAAATTCATACTAAAATGAGTTTCCAACTGACATGAGGAGCAACCAGAGCCACATACTTCCTTTTCCCTCAGAAACGTCTCAATTTTGCTTTTTGTTTAATTGAGACAGATCTGCAGATGCATCATGCCTCCTGATCAGTAGTTGCTTAAGAGATGCACAGGTGGTGTAAGCCTGAGTTCCAGAAAGGAAGCAGTCTGGAGGCACCATAACTGTAAGTGGTTTCCAAAGTGATGTTTCCTCCTTGAGTCCATAGCTAATATTGGGAGGGAGACAGTAAAAAAATTAAAATATCTGGGCATTTGATGTAGTTACTTTCCTTTTATTTTATTGTCCATTATTTTTAAAACTACATTTGGAAAAAAATCGGAACTCGTTTCAAAAGGAGACCCCCAAACAAGCACATCCCATTGTGATGGAAGTATTTCCAGCTGATCTCTTAAGGCAATAGTGTTCGTGAGCACATTGGTGAGAGGCAGTTTCTGAAGCTGAAGAGCCCTTGGGTGCCTCCTGAGAAGCAAGGAAGCAATCTGAGACTCAGAGCAAAGGCAAAAGTTCAATGAGCTCCAACAAGAATGTTTCATGCTAGTCCAAGACCTTTCGTGTGTTTCGTTGAGACATGATTTCCTGCCATATAGTCCTGGCAGGTAAGAAATGACTGTTCTCCCCATGGGTGTCCTGCCTCTGCGGAACAGATAGAAACCACAGCCCCAGCGATTCTTCAAACCCAGTATTCCAGAGCAATTTCAGTGTACCTTGGGGGATAAACCCGAAATATTAAGCCCAAGTTTTTCTTCAAGCACAATGTTTTTCTAGAAATATGTTCTCTTAACATAAACATTTCAAATCCTATGTGCCTAACTCCAAATATAAAGCCTATAACTTCTGAAGGGCTTTTGGCTCCCTGTGTAAAATAGAATAAATATAATTACTGGGCTGTTGAGAACTAGAGGAATATAGCAAGAAATTCATAGATTGTTTTATTAGTCTCATAAAAGATAGCTAGATTCCTTGAGTTTTATGAGAAAATATCATCCTTCACAAAGCTGTGAGCTGTGACTCCACTAGAGTTTCCTGGTCCTTCCACCTCAGAGTTGTTTCTCATAATTAAGGACTTGAGGAAAAGGAATTCAGAAGGGGACAACTAAGTATGGGAGAGGGCGGTCAGCCAACCCTGTCCCAGCTCTGGAAACTTCACCACCACCTCTTCGTTCTTTCAGAAATCATTTATTACAAGTAAAACCATAACAAGGAAAAGGCTGCAGTTAAGTCTTCCTCTTTAGGAATCTTTCGATGCAAGATCGGGAACAAACCATTGCTCTCCTGGCAAAATCTCTGTAGCACAATTTGCTGAGGGATTCAGTCATATCACTTCCAAGATCTAGTACCTAATCAATAGGTCGTTCCTCTGGTCAGCTGTCTTCTCTCCCAGACTGTACTTGCTTAGTACCTCAAAACTTTATCCACCGCATCAATCCTAACACTGGAACAATCTTTCCTTTCATTGTCATCCACTGCAGAAACAAACTGCAAACCTGGTCTACAGAGTGAGTTCCAGGACAATACAGCTTCCAAAACAATACAGAGAAACCCTGTCTCGAAAAACCAAAAAAAAGAAAAAGAAAGAAAGAAAAACTGTAATATGGGACCCATTCCAACCCCTATAACAAAATGCCTTTGACTAGATAATCTCTAAACCACAGAAATTTGTTCCTTTTTCTTCTGGTTAAGAAGCCCGAGACCAAAGTGCCCAAAGATTGGGAGTCTAGAGAGGGCTTGTTTTGCCCATTTCAAAGATGGTGCCTTCTTCCTGCCTCCGTATGAAACCAAAGAAAACGTAAACAAATTCTTCACACAACCAGTTCTACATACTCTCAATTCCAGACTAAACCCTCTAGACTTAACCTACTTCACAAACTCCTGGATGCTTGCTTTTAACTGGTTTTAAAAATCACCAGTTTCAGAGCTGACATTTGGGTCATTGTCATTGTTAAGGTTTGATCATGAATGTCCAAACCAGCCCTTAATCTCTTCTCTCCATGCCCCAGTCCATAAATATTCCTAAAACCCTGTCTTCCCTGTGATTGTTGTAATCTTCACTGTCAGCTTGACTGGATTGAGAAATGCCTGGAGAACTAGTGAGTCAAGTCTCCGTGTGATGATGTTTCCAGAATAGATCACCAGGACTCTGACCTAACAAATAGAATAACCCCTTGATGATTCACAGTCTATCATGGCTTTATCAGGAGGGGCTGAAAGTAAGAAACAGGTCACTGGGAGCATGTCCTTGGATGCTGTCTTGCTCTGGCCTCTTCCTGTATCCTCTTTTCTCTGCCGCCAGTCTGTCTGTTATAATATGAGATGCCAGCTCTGCTTCCTGGGGACCAAAGTGTAAAGTGCTCCATCATAGCATGTACTCATAAGTGGATACCAGACATAAAGCAAACGATACCCAGCCTACAATCCACAACCCCAGAGAAGCTAGAACCCTCTTCCAGAAACAGACAGAAGCAAATGCAGAAATCTACAACTAACCATTGGGCCAAGCTCCTGGAGTACAATTGAAGTGAGGGAGGAGAACAATATGAACAAAGGAGTCAAGACCATGATGGGGAAACCCACAGAATCAGCTGACCTGAGCTAGTGAGAGATCACTGACTCAGGTCTGACAAATGGGGAACCTGCGTAAGACAGAACTAGACTCCCTTGAATATAGGTAACAGTGGTCCAGCTGGGACAATGTATGAGGCACTGGCAGTGGGCCCAGGATCTAAATCCAATGCACAGACTGACTTAGTGGAGCCCATTCCATATGGAGAGATACCTTGCTCAGCCTAGACATGGGGGGTGGTGCCTTGGGCCTGTCTCTACTAAGATTTCCTAGGGGAGGCCTTACCCTCTCTGAGGAGCAGATGGAAAGTGAGGTGTGTGTGGGGAGGGTGAGGGGAGCCAGAGGGGGGCTGGGATTGGAATGTAAAAAATAAATTAATAAATTAGAAAAAATGTTTTTGAAAGTGCTCCACCTACCATGCCAACCCTGCTGGTGCCTCTAGAATCCTGAGCCAAAATCAACAGTCCCTGTAAGCTGTTTTATCACTTTGGTCACTAACACACTTGAGGAGGCAGACATAAAATTTGCCCCCCCCATCTTCACACACCTCTAGAATCATCTCTCTTTCACAAAAATCATCTCGGTGATGGACATATTTTGAGCCGAGTAGAATAGGACCTGGTTCCAAAACATACATCCAGTGGAAGAGACAAATGGAATCTGTCACATTTATAAAGGCACTAATCCCATTCATGAAGGCAGAGCCCTCGTGACCTAATCACCTCCCAAAGGCCACACCTCTTAATATTTGGGTTGGAAGCCAGATTTCAACACACAAATTTTGAAAGGACACCAGCATTAAGATGACCATGGCCCTCAAATCTGCTAGGCCCTCAAAAGCCCTCAATATCTTTGAATGTCTCTATTCTGTTACTGGGCCTTCTGTCTGGGACCACTGGTTAACTTGTAAGGTGGCTATGCAGGCTAGTTTTAAAAACAATATAATATATATATATCAACTCCAAACTGGCGTTGGTGGCACATGCCTTTAATCCCAGCACTAGGGAGGCAGAGGCGGGTGGATCTCTGTGAATTCGAGATCAACCTGGTCTACAAAAGCTAGTTCCAGGACAGCCTCCAAAGCTACAGAGAAACCCTGTCTCGAAAAACCAACTCCAATATGCCAAAAAAATCTTCAGAATGTCCCATTCTCCTACAGTAATATTTTAGAGTCGGTATATCCTGAGCTCTAGTCTGCCCAAGCCTCTATTCTTCATTCACATGTAATCCTAGGGCTGGAGACGCTAAGGTACGACAATCAGGAATCCGAGGCAGCCTGAGTTATAGTGAGTTCCAAGCCAGAACGGATTTCACAGCAATTTTAAATTTTAAAAATAAATGAAAGACATTAGAAAAACAACTCAACTGACAAAGTGAAATTTTGGGGAAGGGATGGAAAGATGCATCGGAGCAGAGCGAAGCGCACTTGGGAACGCGCCTAGCAACAAGTACCTGCCTGCCTCCTTAAGGATGGGAGTAAAGAGACGGCAAGGGTTAGTTCACACAGCGATGAAAATCCACCAAGAGGCGGCTGAGTCTTTAAAGAAATAAAGGATGAGCTCTGGAGAATTGCAAGTCTGAGATCTGTCTGGGTTACAGAGTGAGTTCAAGGCCAGTGTAGGCGATTTATGAGACATCGAGCATCGGCCCAATCTCCAGTATCACGATGGGGAGAAAAGAAAAGGGATGCCAGAAAGTGGTTTTTTGAGAACCAATGCCACAAACATTTACCTTCCTCGGGCTTCAGAGCAGCACCACTCCTAGGGTTTTGCCCACCAACTTCACCCCAGCAACGGAGCCAGGCACCCTGTGAAGATGGCTCTTAGCAACGTTTGTTGATGGGCGTTGCTCACAGGGTGGGACTTGGTGATGTCTGGCTGAGGAAAGCTGTGCAGAGAGCAACACATTAGACAGCCACACCGGTAGGGTCAAGAACGCAGGGCGGCAGGTGGCAGCCTGTACTGTTCCGCGCGCATGCTTCCAGAGCTTCCAGTCCCCAAGCTGGCTGCAGGAGCAAGGCTGTGCTGTCTAGAGTCAGACCCAACACGCTGCTTTGCAACACTCTGCTTGCAAAGTGGTCCGTAGGAAAAGATTGCACAGGTGAGACCACAACCCAGATTGTTGAACAAAAGCCAGCTTGAAGCCATCCATCTATGGTGGTCATACCCACACCTCAGTAGCATCTGACCCTGTGACCAGGCAACTTGCCCCTGTGGTTTTATGATATCCTACTCAAGAGGCTCCAGCAGTAGATTTAATGCTTTGCCCATCCTTCCCCACAATCCCTCCACCCCCACCTATTAACAACACTTCTGCTGGTCCGCTTCCTTTTTCCAACTGGTCTCTGCTTTCATGCTTTGTTTTTCTGGTCTGTTTTGCTTTGGGTCTTTGTTTGTGTCTTTCTCTGTTTTAATTTAGATTCATCATGTAACATCTGCCCTTCTGGTGTGGTTCCTGTTCCTCAGCATGCTGATTTTCAGTTCCATTCATTGTCCAGGAACAGCATGATTGCATCCTTCTTCCTGGATAAATGATACCTCACTGTGTTTACACAGACTTCATTTTCTTTATCCATTTACATGTTGATAGGCACTTAGGCTTATTCCATACATATTGCACAAAGTGCCCAAATAAACATGGGTATATAGTTATACCTAGCATATGCTGAGTTAGAGTCCTTCGGGTTTCTAATTAGTCCTGTAGCTACATAGTTTTTGTTATTTCGGTTTTTGTTTTGTTTTTGAGGCCCTGGTGTCTTGCTTCCCCAGCAGCTACATGGTGTCTCTTCTACCCGCCTTCCTTCTCTCTCTGTCTTTTATTTGGAATTCCCACCTAGGTATATTCACCCCGGCCATTGGTTGAAACAGCTTTATTCATCAACCAATAAAAGAAACACGTATACATAGCATACAGAAGGACGTCCCATATCAGTTCCCTCCCCCTCTCTTCCCTTCTTTATCCTCCCTCCCTCAGATAGACTCAGTCTGTAGCCTGCCTGGCTAGTACTAATCATAAAGGTGTTCACCACCATGCCTGGCCCCAGTAAATACTTTTTAGATCTCGTCTTTCGATAATTGTCTAGTTTTCCCCTTTATTGGTTGGATTATTTGTTCTTTTAGATTTTTTTTTATTGAAAACAATATATTCTGGATATTAACCCTCTGTTGGGTGAAGTTCTGATAAATATTCTCCCCTAGTCTATTTGCTGCCTCTTTTGCCTGCTGCATCATTTGCTGTGCAGAGCTTTTTAATATCACAAAATTCCATTTGTCTTTAAAAGTTTTACTTAGATTTATTTATTTTATGTGTGTGAGTCTTTTGCCTGTATACGTGTCTGTGTACTTATGGTCATGCCTGGTGCCCAAAGAGTCAGAAGAGGATATCAGATGGTTGTGAGACACCATGTGGGTGCTGGGAATCAAGTCTGAGTCCTTTGCGAGAGCAGCAAATGCTCTTACCTGCCTTGTGAGTGGTGGGATTCCAGGCGTGCTGGACATATGTCTTCTTTCATAAATAACCCACTATATATTCAAGACTGTACTTATGGTAGTCAGATGTGTTAGCTCATGCCTGTAATCCCAGCATGTAGAGGCTGAGTCAGGAAGAGTGGGAAGTTCTAGTGGGAAGTGGGAAGTTCTAGGGCAGCCTGGGCTACAGAGTAAGATCCTGTCTCCAAAAAGCATGTATATTACTCCTTTTCTGTGCATTCCTATAATTTCTGCAGTTGCCTTGCTGCTCATTCCTAGTTTTAGCCCATTGTGATCTGATATAATAAAAAAGAAATTACTTCAATTTTGTCATATTCATTAAGATTTGCGGCCTAAAAAATGGTGTTTTAAAGAAATTCTAAGGGCTACTGAGAAGAAGATGCATTCCACACAGGCCCACACATGCTTAAGCACATGTAACCACATACGGACAAGTCTTTTAAAAGATATGAAAAAACAAAAGGTAAGAAAGATAAATAATAAGATGAAAACATAAAAGATTGAAAAAAATCAAGCCAGGAATGGTAGTGAAAAACAATAAAGAAAAACCAAGCCGGGAATGATAGCTTCCATTTGTAGTCCCAGCACTCAGGAAGCTGAGGCTAGCCTGGACTGTAAGTGAAACTAAAAAAATCCCTGAAAGCAAGTGAGACTATCTCAACACCCCAGAAGGGATGGGGTTATACCTTAGTAGTAGAGTGTTTGCCTGGCAGGCACAAGGTCCTGGTTGCTTTAATTATTACATTTTAAAGGTGTGGGGTCTAAAATATACTTGAAATAAATGCACTTGGTGGGGTCTAAAATATACTTGAAATAAATGCACTTAAAAGGTAGATTTTAGAAATTTTTTAAAAGGGAAAACAGCAGCTTCCTTTTGGTCCTGTATTATTGGCATCTGCCAGGGGCCAGACTTTTTTTTTTTCCTGCCATTAAAGCTGGTGTGCAGGGTATAGCACAGGTCAGAATCGATTCTTTCCTTCCTGAAGCCACTTGTAGTCCCAGGGAACTTCATGGCCTGTGGGTCAGGTAGGTTCCCACAGGCCTCTTAGTTGTTCATTTCCAAGTAGCAGTATATCTGAATGCAGAAGAACAAACAGAACACTGGGATATGCTCTGAACGGGGGACACTGAGATAACCTAGCACTCTTCTTGTTTCAAGGTGTGCAGATCCCACTCAACAGGAACCAGGGCACTGGGACTGGGCTTGGAGCATACGTCCCTCTCATGGGAGGTAGGGATGCTATACCAGGGATGGCACTCTGCACAGTGATTTTAGGTCTTCCTTGCCACGGAGGACAGGGCCATCAGCCACTACATCAGTCATCGAAAACAAACTACTACTTTTCAGTGAATCCGCTGACTTTATGCCATGTTGTGGTTTGGTTTGGTTTGGTTTGGTTTGGTTTGGTTTGGTTTGGTTTGGTTTAGATTCAGTCTCTGGTGGTGTCACTGTATCAGAAAATGACCTTGGACTCCTGATATCCTCCTGCCTCTGCCTCCCAAATGCTGGAATGGCAGGTGTGTGCCACCATGGCTGCCAAGAACAGTATCCTTTGAAAACAGGTTCAAATAAACAATGACTTGAAAAGCTGAAGGCTGACATTTATAGGGAGAGTACATGGCTTTGAACAAATAAAGAACACAGCCACTGCAGAGCCCATAAAACCACAGACTCGTGTTTTCTATGATGTGTGAGCATGTGTGTTGGGGTGTGTATTATGAATCACGTGTGGAGGACAGAAGACAACTTTGTGGAGTCATTTCTCTCCTTCCACACTTTTCATGGGTTCCAGGGGTCAAACTCCAATCATCAGGCTTGCAAAGTATATTGAAGGCAGCCTGGAATACACAGCACCCTGTCCAAAAGAAAAAAGGAAAGAAAGAAAGAGTGAATGAAAGAAGGAAGGAAGGAAGGAAGGAAGGAAGGAAGGAAAAAGCAAAAGAAAGAAAAAAGCAAAGAAAGAGAAATTGTTGTTTTCATCTTGAGAGGATTAACTGGATATTCATTACTGTTTTAGCCCATTTTAATGGTTTCATCTTTATTTCCTTTGCCCTCTTTATAGCCTGGGGAAATGACAGATATTGTAGCTATTTGGGATGTTATTTTAAACGATGGAGCCCACAAGATTGAATTTGAACATGGGACGACATCAGGAAAACGAGTTGTGTATGTGGATGGGAAGGTAGGAAAACATAATGTGACTTTGTAAAAATATGCTACAAAGAAGCTCACATTCCTTCATTTCTCCCTCTCTCCCTTTCTCTATCTATCCCTCCCTCTCTCTTTGAGGCAGAGTCTCTCTCTGGGTGTCCTGTAACTTGCTATATAGACAGGGCTGGTCTAGACCTCATAGAGAACCTCCTGTCTCTGCCTTCCCAGTGCTGGAAGTAAAAGTATGCAAGACTACATCAGCATGCTTTCTTAAGCATTTCTATTTATTTTATTTGTATGTGTAAGGGTATTTTGCCTTATGCATGCATGTGCAACACATGTGTGTCTGGGGTCCTCTGAGGATACAACAGGATATCAGATCCCCTGAGCCTGCAATTATAGAACCATGTGGGTTCTGGGTATTGAACTCAGGACCTCTGGAAGAGCAGCCAGTGCTCTTAACCTCTGAACCATGTCTCCAGCCCTGAAGCTTGGTTTTATCAGCATAGCTTCTTCATATATAAAGTTAGGGCTTTTTCTCACAGTGGTTATGTTTTTTCATCTATTTATTTTTCTGTATAATGCAATCTAGTGGTAGTTACAAAAGAATAATTACATAAAGGAATATGAAATCTTCACAGAGAAACCCTGTCTCAAAAAAAACCAAGAATATGAAATCTGGTATTTAAACTTAAAATGGTTTTTTTTATTTTCAGACAGGATCTAAGTAGTCCAGGCTGGCCTCAAAGTCACAGAGATCCACCTTCATCTGTCTCCCAAGTACTGGGGTTAAAGTTATGTGCCTCCACATACAGAAAAGTGATTTTTAAGAAAAACCTTAATATTATGAATTCATAAAGTACAAATAACATTGGCTTTTAATCCCTGTCTTAGTCAGTGTTATATTGTGAAGAGGCATCATGGCCAAGGCAACTCTTATAAAGCAAAGTGTTTAATTAGAGATTGATTACAGTTTCAGAGGTTTAGTCCATTGCCAGCACGGCAGGAAGCATGGCAGCAGGCTTGGCAGAAACGGTGCTAGAGAAGTACCTGAGAGTTCTGCAGGAAGAGAGAGAGCCACGGAGCCTGAGAGTTCTGCATCCGATCCACAGGCAGCAGGAAGAGAGAGAGCTGCTGAGCCTGGCATGAGCTTTTAAAACCTCAAAGCCCGCCCCCAGTGACACACTTCCTTCAGCAAGACCACACCTCCTAATCCTTATAATATTTCCAATAGTACCACTCCCTGATGACCAAACTTTGAAATATATGAGCCTGGGGGGGGGGCATTCTTATTCTAACTACAACAATCAGCCAGGCAGTGGTGGCGCACATCTTTAATCCTAGCACTGGGGAGGCAGAGGCAGGTGGATCTCAGTAAGCTCGAAGCCAACCTGTTCTGCAAATCAAATTCTAGGACAGTCAGGACTGTCTCACAGAGAAACCTGTCTTGAAAAACAAAAACAAACAAACAAAACCCACCACAATCACCTTGAAGTTTTTATTATTTCTTAAATGTTAAATATTAAAATTCTCTCCATCTGTACATTCTAACCTAGTCTATTTTATCATCTAGGAAGAGATAAGAAAAGACTGGATGTTCAATTTAGTGGGCAAAGAAATCTTCTGCGTTGGAGTGGGAAAAACCAAAGCCGCCATACGTATACTGTCTGGCAAAGGTTATGTTTTTAAATATATCCTGGAAATTGAGGGGAAAAGCTTCAGGAAGTACATGGAGAACAGATCAAAGACCACCAACACCTGGATACTGCACTTGGACGGCAAGAACTTTAGAATTGTTTTGGGTGAGTCAGGGCTGTTTCTGAGGATGATTTTTTTAAAGATTTATTTATTTATTATGCATACAGTGTTCTGCCTGCATGTATCCTTGCACACCAGGATAGGAGTCCAGATCTCATTATAGCTGGTTGTGAGTCACCATATGGTTGCAGGGAATTGAACTCAAGACCCCTGGAAAACAGCCAGTGCTCTTAACCTCTAAGCCATCTCTCCAGCCCCCAGATTTTTTCAATTAAAAATTCATAAAATATATTCTGCAGTATATTCTGATCATGGTTTCCCTTCCCCCATCTTCTCCCAGATCCTCCCCACCTCCCCACCTACCCAACCCCATGCTTTCTTTATCTCTTTAGAAAAGAAACAGGTAAATAAAAAAACAAACAAACAAAGCAGAATTTAAAAATTGGAAAAATCACAAGAAGCACACAGAGACACACAAATAAAATCAGTAAGAACACAAAATTGGAAACCATAATATACAAGCAAAAAAAACCTAAATTTTTTAAAAAACTGAAAGAAAGCAATATGAGACAACAAATCTGTAAGAACACCACTGAGTGTGTTTTGTGTTGGTCACCTACAGCTGGGAGTGGGGCCTATGCATAAGTGAGATTCCATTGGGAGAAAACTGATTTTTTTATTTGCAAGGGATTGTCAGTAGGAAATCGCGTCCTGTTTAAGGATGGGAGACTGTGTTCACTTCCCCCTCTCGGCTCTGTAACCCCATCTGGCTTAAACCTATGCAAGCCATATTAGATTTTTATAGTGATATGTGTTTCCTCCATAGAATTAAGTAGGGGATTTGAACAGGATAAAAGAGTGCAAGAGCCATGCTTTCCTCATGCATTCACGTGAGCAGGTCATCATTCAATATTCAATCAACCCTCAAGGTTTTTGTTTTGTTTTGTTTGTCAGGAGAATAATTTATTTTTACATAAACTTGTGAAGAATTTTATTTCTCTCATTATTTTTTCCATATTTTTTATTTAACTTTTTATGAATGTCACTTTCATTTCCCTCTCCCTCCCCTCCTCCCCCACCCCCAATCCTCCCAACCATCCCCTCCCTCCATCCCCTTCCACTCCCCAGGGAGGGCAAGGGCTTCCATGAGGGATTTTCAGAGTCTGTCACATCATCCTGGGAAGGGCCTAGGTTCTTCCTCCTATGTCCAGGCTGAGAGATCATCCCTCCACGTGGTATGGGTTCCCAGAGTCCCTCTGTATGCCAGGAATAAATACTGCTCCACTCTCCAAGGTCCCACAGATTGCCAAGGCCTCCTCTCTGTCAGCCAGGTTCGGTGGGAGGGATGTCTGGATCAGTTATTTCTCTCATTATTTAACAGGGAAAGATGTTAAGGGCTGGTTCAAAGGAGAATGTCAAAACAAAACATAGAGCTGAAGATGTGGGTTGGTGGTACAGCACCTGACAAGCATCGCAAGGTGCTGGGTTTGATCCCCAGTTCCAAGATAAAAGCAAAAGCAAAATCACCCCCAAGCAAACTCATAAAAACAGAAATCGGAACAAAACTCAACATATGTACACAGGCAGTAATACTTACATATATATGTACACATGCAATTACATTTGTACATACATGCTTTAGTGTGCAGATCTGAATTTAAAGTCATCATCCATCCCTTGCCTCCTGAGTGCTGGCGTTACAGGCATGACCGCCATGCCCAGGTTTTTCTTTTCTTATTTGGTGCAGATAATTCAGGGGAAGGGAATCTGGCACCCTCTTCTGGCCTCTGTGGGCACTTGACACACAAGTGTTACACAGACATATATGCAACCAGAACACCTTTACACGTACAAATTAAAACAAATACAGTAAGTTAACTTTGAATGCGGAATTATAACATTGAAATGTTATTACTTTTACAGAAAAAAACACTATGGATGTGTGGTGCAATGGTAAAATAATAGAGTCAGCGGTAAGTCAGCCTTTAATTATTCCTAGTGCATACGTGACCAAATGTTACTGCATTTCCTCATTCTAGAACTTCTATTTTCCTGTGTAGACTAGGCTAACCTCAAACTCAACCCTCTTGCCTCAGCCTACTCAACATTGGGGTTGCAAATGGGAACCACCACCACAACCGAGTTCTAATTCTAGTGATTATGTAATTAACCAAGGTAATCCGAGTAAAACCAAAAAGTATAGGAATTGCCTTTTACTCCAAGTTCTGAAAATCTTTGCCAGACGGTGCCTGGGGCAATTGGAGACATAGCCACACAATCCACCTTGCCTCTCCTGGCTAGACTTTTCTCTCTCTCTCTCTCTCTCTCTCTTTTTTTTCTTTGGTTTTTCGAGACAGGGTTTCTCTGTGGCTTTGGAGGCTGTCCTGGAACTCGCTTGGTAGTCCAGGCTGGTCTCAAACTCACAGAGATCCGCCTGCCTCTGCCTCCCAAGTGCTGGGATTAATTTAAAGGCGTGCGCCACCAACGCCCGGCTTCCTGGCTAGACTTTTATCCTGAGACGTGTTCATTTTCAAAAGTTACTTCCCCGAGAGCTGCTGTCTTCCTGGTTTTGTTCCTCTAGAAATCAAGTGTAGTAGTCCCCTAGGAGCTGATAATAAACAAATTCTAGCTTTCAGCCCTCTGCACTGCCAACGCTGCTGACCCAGATCCCACGTGGGTAGGAAGGCTTTGCACATATCCTCAAAACCGTGGGGGTACTTTCCAAAAGTGAGGGGCCTTTGGTTTGATTTTTAAAGAAGTAGTGATGTACACAGTGTCAGATGACATGAAGGTAAACATCAAAGGACACTGTCACAAAAGCCAGAAGACAGGTGGAATTTGTAGACCAGTATTGTCAAGGTAGGAGGGGAGACGCTCCTCTGCAGGGAGGCCAAGCATCCCGCAAAAGCCAAGCAGGCTCCAATGTTCTCAGCTTTGCTCTCCGGGACTGGGAGTCGTGTGACTTGGAGGGAAATGGATATAGGGATGAATTTCAAGCAGAAATGAATTAACATGGTGGCACAGGGAATGTGGGACCAGGAGCTGAAGTCATTGGGAAGAAACTCCGTGTCTTGGGGTCTTCTGGCAACACAGCAAGTGTTGTTCCTAATGCCCGAGTTTGTGCTCTAGGGAGGAAGGCCCAGGTTGGCAATGGTGAGCAGCTAACTCTCTGCTCTACTCGCCTTCTCTCTGGTTGCATGGGTCAGTTGCTCCCATTACAGGTGTAGGAAGGTGAGTTAAGGCACTCAGACGAAAGGTTGCTTTGGGGGTAACAATTCAGTTGATTACCTCGAATCTACTCGATCTCCTAACTGTCTGGCTGAGGAGACAAGAATCCACAGTCACAAAGGTAGATGTGTTCTCATTTCTATTCTGGAGGGTGGGGGTTCAAGATAGGGTTTCTCTGTATTGTTTTGGAGCCTGCCCTGGAAGTCACTCTGTAGCTCAGGCTGGCCTCAAACTCGCAGATCCGCTAGCCTCTGCCTCTCAAGTGCTGGGATTAAAGGTGTGTGCCACTAACACCTGGCACATTTTCATTTCTTAAGCCTGGCAGATGTAACCTGGTCTCTCCAGCTTTGTCTCTGAGAGACATTCCCTGGAATAAACCTGCTGAGAGAAGCCTTGTTCATGCAGAGGTCCAGGGAGCTCTCCAGGCCAGAAGGAACCTGTAGAAAAGAAGTAATTACCATGCATTTGGTCAGGTACCTACTGTGGGCCAGCTACACCAGACCTATTGAGGTTCAAGCTTCAAGCTGAAGATCAGAGGAACAAAGCAGCCAACCCAGTAACTCTTAACTCTACCAAGCTGAAATAGTAATCCTGTCTCCACAAATCCTCAGAGGCAAAAACTCTCAGTTCCTGTCTCCACCTGCTTATGCTCCTTTCTCTGCCCAGCCATATCACTCCAATCTTCACCTCCCTAGTGCTGGGATTCCTAAAGGAATGTGATCCCAAGTGCTGAGATCACCTTTGTGTGAGCTGTTTCTTTTATGACTGGAACAAGTTCGTGTTGTCAGTGTGGCCTTGAACTAACAGAGATCCATCTACCTCTAAATTCTGAGTTCTGGGATTGAAGGTATATATCACCACTGCCTAGCTCTATGGCTGCTGGATTTAAAGGGGTGTAGTACCACTGTCTGTCTCTAGTGCTTGAGGCTGACTTTGCTTTCTGAATCATCGGGCAAGCTTTAACAAATCATAAATAGCATATCACCACAGAAGGAATTATAATTTAACATGTAATCAACAAAGGATTTTATTAGTGAGTTATACATATTTATAGGTTTCAGATCAGGTAAGTTTCAGATCAAGGTATGTACTTTAAACTTAGGGTATGAGTTTCATTTCTAAGTAGACACATTTAAAGTGCTCAATAAATTTAGTAGTCTGGTTTTCATTAGTAAGCGTGTATTTTATTACAAATTACCTTTTCCCCAAAGGAAGCAGAATTTTGAAGTGGTTGAGAGTAGTCTCCTCGCAGAGTGGCACTTTCAAGTCATCTGCCTCTGTTTTCTTATCTGTCAAGTGGGCATAATAAAAGTATTTCTATAGTGATCATTGTAATGATAGAATTAAGTGAAGGCATGAGGATCAGGAGATTAAGGTCATGAGCTCTGGCTTAACCTAACCTTGGCTACACAGTAAGATCTTATTTCAAAGTCAAAATAATGAATGAATGTGAGGAAAGGAAGAAGCTCAGTTTATAACAGAATCATAAAGGTATGTGAACACAAGCTTCAAACTCTGAGTCTGCAACCCTTAACATTTTACAAACGTGTGATTTCATTATACCGCTGGTACTTTTTAGATGAGGCTAGTGCCCCGACAGAGATTTCTGGACCACTGATGCTTCCTCCATTGCTGTCCTAGGGCAAGTTTGTAGATGATGGAACTGAAACACACTTCAGTGTTGGGAACCATGAGTGTTACATAAAAGCCGTCAGCAGTGGGAAGAGAAGAGAAGGGATTATCCACACACTCATTGTGGACAACAGGGAGATTCCAGAGCTCCTCCAGTGACTACTTGTTAATGGGTTCTGAGCTGAAGAGGAGACATCAGGACTTGCTAATGGCTGTGGTAATTAAATGTGTTCACTGTGTACATATCGGTAGATTTAGTCTGCAATGTTTTCATTTTTCTCTTTTGTTACTTGAAACTGTAATATTCCAATGGTCAGAAAAATGTGTTTTATTATTTCTATTGCATTTGAATGCATGCTTGCATGCCACACTGCATGTATAGAGGTCAGAGAACAGCTATCTGGAGTTGGTTCTCTCCTCCTGAACTTAGGTTGCCAGGCTTGGCAGCAAGCTTCCCATAATTGCTGCCCCATACCTCATCTTTTAAGTGATGTAAAAATGTTGTAAAATTAAATGGAAAATAATATAGAAATCTAAATGAAGAACATTGCACATCAGTAATCTTCACTGGAGTGTACCCTGTAAAATAAAACCTATGCTGTACCCCATGTATTTCTACAAGTAAACTTGTCGGCATAACTTTTCTTCTCCTGTGCAGATAGGTTGCCTCTACATTAAAGCATATCTCCAGGGGGTTATTGTCATTTTGATTTTGTAGCCCTGGTTGTCCTGAAACTCACTATGTAGACCAGGCTGGCCTCAAACTCAGAGATTCCCCCTGCCTCTGCTTCTTAAATACTGGGATTAAGGGTGTGTGCTACCATTGCCTGGCTGATACATCCAGTTTAATTGGAAAAAGTAACATTTTCTATTTGAAAAACATCAAACAGTGTCACATAACAATTTCATTTGAAACTGTGCTTCTGAAATTGCCATTATTTAATTAATACCATAACAAAAATACAAGAAGAAAAACGGCAAGCCTGTTTGCACCTGTTATGTTACCTTTCCTGTGGGGGGGGGGGTAAAGAAATACCCATTTACCTGTTAAAGCATACCAACAGACCAAAGGAATGATTCCATCCGAGCTCAGCAGGATGAGCCTAAGAACTTATTGACATTACCTGCAGGGCCAGGGTGACTCCAAAGCGCTAATCACTGGAGTCCTGGCCCCCTGGTAAGCCTGCCACTTCCTCTGCTCTAGAACCTCATAGCACAGTAAGCCAGGAGACAAGCGCAGCTGGAATCTCAGATGAGAGTCTTCTGGCCATCCCTCATTTCTTCTATGAAGGAATGTTAACCGCCCCCATTGCCGATGCCGTAGATCTGGCTCTCACTGTTTGTTTATTGTTTTCATCATCGTGATGTCCAACCAAGAAACCATGTAGGTCACAGCCATTTGGCTTCATGATGGCCATCTCTCTCTCTCTCTCTCTCTCTCTCTCTCTCTCTCTCTCTCTCTCTCTCTCTCTCTCTCTCTCTCTCTCTCTCTCTCTCTCTCACTCACACACACACACACACACACACACACACAAGCTATTCTGCAAAAACTCAGGCTACATCAGACCAGGTGCATCCTCAGGTGGGGTTTCAAAGTCAGCTCAGCACCAGAGTGGGTGTCCCTGTGACAGAGCAGGAGCCCCCCCCAAGGCAAACTCACGAAGAAGCAGTGTCATAAGTGCTCCAGCATGGTTTGTTTCCCTCCCGATCTTTGCAAGTCTTTCAGGTGCTTGAAGCTGGTACAAGGGGGTTTGTTCTTAAGTCTCCTCACAGGAGAAGATGCTGTTACAGAGAGATGTTCTTGGTCTCACACTTAGCTTCTGAAGTGCAATCACAGGCAGGCATAGCACAGCCTCTATGCAGACAAGTGCACAGTAGAAATTAACTGCACCTCCACCAAGAAGCCCCTGTAAGAGCACTTAGCTTGCCGACAGATGTGCTGAACTCTGCAGAGCGTGGTTTGAGAGCCCAGCCGTAAATGGAATGAATCTCACACACCTCTTTTATATTGCCTCGGTATTTCTGGGTTGAAGAATCATGGTTTCTTGCTAAGTGGATTGTGTTCATTGCCTGTTTTTCCCAATTTTGTGCTGAAACCACTGAGGATTTCAAGCGGAGTCTCTATGGAATTAGACTTCAGGTATTTTTCTTGTTTTGTTTTTTAAAATAATTTCTGTACCAATTTTAAAAATTCTTTCATAGTCCTATTTAAATGTTTTCAAAACTGAATTTATATGACTCAGATGAATCACCCTCTGCCTGTGAAAGTCACATATAGGAGCACGAGATTCCTAATACACAATTCAACCAGTGCAACCATAAACACTTAAGAAGAGGATCACAGCCAGGAGGTGGTGGTGCCTTCGATCCCAGGACTCAGGAGGCAGAGGCACATGGGTCTCAGTGAGTTTGAGGCCAGCCTGGTTTATTATAGCAAGTTCCAGGCCAGTGAGGACTACATTGGGAGACCTTTTCTCAAAATCAAAAAGGTGTTGGAGGAGGACAGGATAGATGAAAAAGACAAGAAGAAAGTGGGGGGGTTGGGGAAAGAAGGGAATCAGCTGGGTTGGCAGGGTGTGGGGGTGTAACAGGGAAATGGGGGCAGCAAGTGAGAACAAAGTAGAATGACATTTGTGTGTAAAAATGCGAAAATAAAGCCCGTTACTTTGTAGGCTAATTAAAAAGAGAAGGAATCTAGTTAGCAACTCTGGCCGCATTCCGGTACTCAGCAGTCACCTGTCCAGGTATGTGGTTGATGCAGCTACCGACTAGGTCCATCACCACCCCAAGCTCTGCTGGGCAGTGCTTGTCCAGACACTGCCTCAGGCTCTGGGGATTGCTGCCCAGGAAGGGTTGAAACTCAGGGTTTCCAGACATTACCACCCACACCATTTAATACTTTGTAGTGAACTAACGTCGTTCCAAGAGAGGCTGGGCAGACATGAGGCAGACACAAGTTCCAACACCAGGAAAGAGGAACTGACAGTCAGGAGACAAGTGAGGATGGAGGTCTGGACAGGACGTGATGACAAGGAACAAGTGAAGAGCCTTTACTGCTTGTTTTCTCTAACAGCATTTGTTTTGAGCTCAAAATACTTACCTTTTCTCCTGCGCGTGCGTGTGTGTGTGTGTGTGTGTGTGTGTGTGTGTGTGTGTGTGTGTGTGTGATTCATTAGACTGTTTCATAGGATGTGATCTGGGTGGTCTAGCAATGACTGACAATGGAAAGACTTAGAATTCCAGGATTGTTTGGGCCACAAAGCTGGATGTCTCAGCTTCCTCAGTTGAACACTAGAGTTTGGAGGATTCCTGGAGAGCTGCTGGTCTTCAGTTTGTGTTGAGAACATGGAGAAGCTTTGTTTAATACTGGCCACAGGAACAGGGTAGATGAACTTGCCAGAGAAAGTGAGGGCAACAGGAAAAAAAAGCTAAGTTTCTTTCATGATCTTCTTGTATGTGGGCTGCAACCAGAAGATGTGGCCCAGATTTAGGGAGGGTCTTCCTGCTTCAGATAATGTGATTAAGAAAATCCCTCAGGCTGGAGAGATGGCTCAGCGGGTAAAAGCACTAGCTGCTCTTCCAAAGGCCCTAAGTTCAATTCCCAACCACCACATGGCGGTTCACAACCATCTGTAATGGGATCTGATGGCTTCTTCTGGTGTTCATGAAAACAACACTCATGCAAAAAATAAATAAATATTTTTAAAAATGGAAATCGGAGGGCTGGACTCAGTGATTAAGAGCACTGACTGCTCTTCCAGAGAACCCAGGTTCTATTCCCAGCACCTACATGGCAGCTAGCAACTGTCTACAACTCCAAGATCTGACATCCTCAGACATACATGCAGGGGAAACACCAATATACATTTAAAAAAAAAGAATGGAAGTCAGAGAGAGACAAAGAGAGAGGGAGGGAGAGAGAGAGGAGAGAGAGAGAGACAGAGAGACAGAGAAGAAAAAGGAAGAGAAAATCCTCATTACCTATTGCTTGGTATGGTGGTATATGCCTCTAGTCCCAGGCAGAGGCAGTCAGATCTCTGTTGAGTTCCAGGACTGCCTGGTCTACAGAGAAATTCCAAGACAGCGAAAGCTGTACAGACAGTGAGACCTTGTCTCAAAATCCAAAAAAAGAAAGAAAGGAAGGAAGGAAGGAAGGGAAGAAGGAAGAAGAGAAGAACATCCCTCACAGGTATGTTCAGCAGCTTGGGTTTTATTTCCTATGTAGTCAAGCTGACAACTAAAATTAGCCCTCACAGTCAGTGTGCTGGCACACTTGAAATCCCAGTGCTGGAGAGATGGAGGCGGGAAGTTCCCTGGGGCTCATTAGACAGCCAGGCTAACTTAATTGGTGAGCTCCAGGGCAATGAATGAGACAGCAAATCTCAAGGGAGGGAGACAGTGTTCCTGAGGATGACACCAGCGCTTGTCTTCTGATCTTTATACACACGCACACGTGTGCACACACATACACATACACACACATTCTTACACACTTATATACTTCCTCTCACACTAAAAACATCTATATTTACCAAGCTGAACATTGTGACACAGGCCTATAACCCCAGTACTCTAGAGGTAGAGGCAGGAGGATCAGGACTTAAAAGTTATCCTTGGTGATATATTAAGGACAGCCTGGGCTACATGTGAACCTGTCTCAAGCAAACAAATTTACTGAGAAAACCAGCTGCTATTCCCTTTGCTTCACTGCCTCTAGAAACCAGAAAGACAAAGTTCAGTGCTGAGGGACATTAAACTCAACTGCATTTGTTTTCAAGTGTTGGGATGTTGTGGTTTGTTTACATTTTCTCTTTTAGCGGCCGTATTTGTATCTGGTACAAAAGTGTCTTGCCTCGAATTCAAAACAACAATTAAAAAGAAAACACACACACACAAACGTTTTGTGTTGAACTCTAGCTATTAGAATCAAAGCCTGTGATTTCTTTCCCCCGAGTTTCATGCAACTCAGCACACACCAGGAGGACACTTTGATTACATCTTCCTGCGCTCACACTGTGGGAATGTAGTTTTGATTTAACTGGTGACTCATGTTTCAGTTTTGTTTTTTAATGAAAAGCAGCGTGTTAGTGTGGATTTGGTATAGACTAGGCCTGAAATCTGTCACAGCCTGAATTCAAAGATAATGAAATTGTAGACATGCCAAACAAAAACCTAAAAGTCTAGCTGCATAATCCCAGAACAAGGACTGCTACAAATTCAAAGCCAGAGACATAGTGAGATCTTATCTCAAGATACCCACAAATAAACAACTAGTTTTCAAAATGATCAATGGCTTCAAAGAGGATTAAGACGCCCAGTTGACAGCCTGGAATGTGGCTCAGTTGGTTAAATGCTTGCCTGGCTTGCACAAAGCTTTAGTGTTTCATCCTCAGCACCACATAAAAACACATGGCGCTATATGCCTGCAATCCAGGACTCAAAGGATGAGATCAAGGTCACCGTTACCCATATAAGGAGTCCAAGGCCAGCTTAGGCTACATAAGAACTGGTCTCAAAAAGCAAACAAACAACAAATGAAGTAAAGGAATCAAATGATAAAGCAGATGATGAAGTCCGCAACATGGATGAGTTTCAGTGGCATGAATGAAAACAAAATCCATGTTTTGAAAACAAAATACATTTGGGAAGAGAGAACCTTCATGTAATAAAAACAAAGTGG